TATATATATATATTGGTATTACTTTGAACACACAAGGCGAAGGGCGAATTTTATGAAATTAGTCCTTTGTTGGCCAAAATAAAAACGTAAAAAGAATTCAGAATGAAACATTTTGATTTTCAGTAAAAACAAGAGATTATTCTAAAAGTAACTTGTGTGAAAAGTGTGAAGATATAAAAAGTATAGCGTTTCGCCATTCGTAAGAAAAGCATTAAAAAACTGTCAACTGAATTGAATGCTTAGAAAATCCTGTTACATCATTATATTTGCGATCAGTGTAGAATAAAATTATGTAAAGGAACGGAAAAAATGGAATTTTTTGATCAATGTTATCTGATAAGCAAAGTCTTTAGTTTTCAGTTAGAAGTCGGTTTTCAAATAAAGTTTAGAAACCTCTCCAAAAGTGAAACATGTTCTACAGAATCTGTCCTTAAAGCTGTCAGATTCTATTAGATATAGTTCAATCGATACTATTATAATTTTATTCTCATAAACACGTAAGATCGTTCTGTCGTTCTGTTCCAGTCTGTCGTTCTTCTTTTATATTACTAAATCTGGAGGAGAGAGAGAGAGAGAGAGAGAGAGAACACGCTTTCCTACTGGATTATAAAGTGAAATTAATCTTTATGAAGGAGTTTTTTATGTGCCTCTACATTTTTTTTTAAAAAAATGAATGTTTCAATGGCATTAATTATATAATATTGGAGGATTACAAAATAACCAATATCTTTAAATAATTAACATACCTGGCCATTATGATCAGATAGTAAGTCTTAAAACTAGGGGATGAATTGTTTAAAAATTTTAAATATTGAATAGATTAAACCTCTGGCTGCACATTCCGCGATTTCCACGGGCAACGTAGATGTAACATAAATTGCGCATTCCGCGATTTCCACGGGTAAGTATTTTTCCGACTTTTTAGCTGTTCAACCTATGATGTTCTTGCTTATGTTTTCATTTACATTTTTATGTTCATATTTGGATGATCTATTTCTATATTTTAAAATAAAAACTTTTTTACAAAAATTATTTGTATATTTTAAATCTAAAATGTAGATTTAATATGTAGGTTTGAAATACAGTGGGTGATCGGTTAACGAACATAACCTGTTCCAAGACTATATTCGCTATCCGAATTGTTCATTAACCGATCATCAATTCACCATAGACTTCTAAGTGAAATCGATTAATTCGTTCTGGAGACCCTAAAAAAATGAAATCAAAACCGAAACTGATGGTCTAATGTGTATGAATATTCTATTGGATTTTTTCTTTCAATATAACTTTGAAGTTTAATAGGTAAGCAACATAATTCAGGAGAGATGAAAAACGATTTTTAGTCCGTTTCTCATATTTCACGTATTTTTACGGCGGTAGCGCGTCATCGGCACCTTTATATTTTATAGTCCGCACTGTTTGAAAAAATTAAGAATTCGCTTAATTTATTTGCCATGTCAGCAAATCCATTCTCCCATAGCTTTTCAGCTGTCAGAAAATATTGATATTCAATATTGAAATTCAAGTATTCAAGTGTGTATTGATTTTAGTCATAAAAATAATAATTATTGAATGACCTTTATATTCATTGTTAATTCAAGTTTCATTTAGTAATTATCAGTACTAAGCATGCTTTAAACATTTCTCCTTTCAGTGATCTTATTTTGTATGCAAAATGATAGCAAATGTTTAATATTAATTTTTTTCAGAGCCGAGAAGTGTTCGTTATAGAATTCGTTTTGTTCATTATCCGAATATGTGTTCGTTGTCCAAACACAAAAATTCTTTCTTGAAAGTGTTCGTTATCCGATCACAAAAATCTTTCGTGAAAGTGTTCGTTAATCGATCACCCACTGTAAGTAATAAAACCGTACTCAATTTTTGAACCTACTTTGATAAAATAACTACGCAGCGAGAGGGTTAAATCAATACCGGTATATTTTGATTCTAAGGCCACGTTGTGGGAGGATACCGAAAGGCCAATTTTAAATGGCCAAAGAATCTGTTTAAAATGATTGCATTCATTATTTAACTTTGCATCTCTGTAAACATATACAAGGTGTAACAGAAAAGTAATGAGACTGGCAACGTTGCGCTTTTGTCCTTAATAAAACATGTGTATCAGTACCTTCCTACACCTCAGTGCGAATTTTTCAACTCCTTCCGTTAACTACATAATTTCTGTTTTGGTTGTGCGAAATGCAAAACGGAACAGTGGAATTTGGAGCAACGTTGTGCCATTAAATTTTGTGTTCAGCTTAGAGAATAGACAAGAGTGAAGTTTTAAAAGTTAAAACAGGCTTATGGGGAACATTCTTTATCATGAGCTAAAGTGTCTCGCTGTCACAAATCCTTTTTTGAAGGCAAAAAACACGTTGAAGATAAAGCCTGTTCAGGGAGACCTTCAACTTCGAAAACCGATGAAAACATCGAACGTGTGAACACTCTTGTGGGATCAGACCGTCGCTTAACGTTAAGAATGTTGAGTGAACAATTAAATTTGAGTGGATTCACCGTTCATTAAATTTTGACTGAACATTTGCATATGCAAAAGGTCTGTGCCAAAATGGTGCCAAAGAATCTCACAATTGAGCAGCAGGACATTAGTATCTTTATCTTCTTGACAGAATCCCTAATGAACAGGATTTCTTTAGCCCTGCAATTGCAGGTGATGAAACATGGATTTTTGAATACGATCCTGAGACCAAGCGGCAAAGTTAGGAGTGACCCACTGCAAACTCTCCTCGACCAAAGAAAGCAGGAATGAACAAATCGAAAATCAAATCAATGCTGATTTTTTTGACAAAAGGGTAATCATCCAGAGAGAATTTGTTCCTCCAGGACACACTGTCAACCAAGTTTTTTATAAAGACATCCTTGAAAAGCTAAAAAAAAAGTGTCATTCACGTGAGACCAGACATTGAAGACAAATGGATGCTCCCTTACGACAACGGCTCATGTCACACTGTCCTCTCTATAACAGAATTTTTGACTTCAAAAGGCATTCCTGGGCTTCCCCAGAACCCCTATTAACTTGACCTCAGTCCCTGTGTGACTTTTCCTTTTTCATAAACTAAAAAATGTCCTCAAATAACATTATTTCAGGACTTAAGAAAACATCTAAAAGAGTGTGACGAACATGATAAAGACCACACCGTTGAGGACTTCCAGCGCTGCTACCAAGAATAGAAACAACGTATCCATAGGTGTGTAGCTTCCTAAGGGAACTACTTTCAAGGGGATAACACATTAATGTTTAGAAAAAAAAAACTCATTACTTCTCAGCCACACCTCGAATATTGTATTATAAAAATAATATAATTTTATTGATTGTGAGTCAGTAAAATAAAACAGTGATAGTTTTATTCAATTATTTTAGCGTACTAATTTCACATCCTCTAGAGCTGCAAAAACATTTAATTTTAGAATCTCTTTAATGGGTCAAACGTACTCTATTCCTTTTTTCTACAATTTTTTTTAGAAATCAGATTTCTTGTTGAAATCTCCTCATTGACTGCAAGTGAAGTCAGCCAGCTTGATCTTCATGCAAGAAAAATTTTGTACACAAATATAGAGAACATTTTCTGCCTATTCAGTTCTCAGACTCTCTTGGTGTGCCGCAAGATAAGTCTTAGCGGGTTTCTAGTTGCCAACTCCTTGTTTAAATGAATGTCCTAAATGACCTGTAAGACAATCTTCTAAAATAGGGGTCTCCAACCCCTGGCCCGCTGATGGCAGTTTAGTGGCATCTTATTTGAATTTGAGGCAATTTAAAGGATCAAAAACAATTGCCTTACATGTTTTATTGTCGTAAAAATGTTATTTTTTTCAGTTATTCTTGGTATGTAAAACATTTCCTGATGTGTTTAATATTCATTTGGAATAAAATCTTCCAAAATTAATTAATTTTTCAAAAATTTTTAAATGTATTTTAAATAATTTTAATTATAAGAAATCTGACTAAGCATAAAATATCAGAAATTTTCGGAAAAAAGGTGGATTTTTCTATTTAGCAGGTTTGCAAAGTGTTTCTATTCAACTTCAGCTTAAGCTTTTTGAAACCGATATAGTATATATATATATATATATTTTAACTCTTTGTACTAATTTTTAAACGAACTTTAATTCTTCGGCTTAAAAAATAACACTGTAATCTTAATCGTAATCGGCTAGTCCGAAATTCCTGTCCCGCCTATTCTATCCAATCAGA